TGTGATTTTAGCGCATGTCTCCAACATACTCGATAGATCTTCAACTCCTTCTATAGCCTCACCTTTATTAGATTCGCCACTCGAGTCCTCTTCATCTTTCCACGCAAAATGACCGCAGTCTCTAGTACAGCAAAAGAATAAGCGCCCTACGTTTGACGAATTTTTCTGGACCTCCATACATTTCTCGATGCCATTTCCACATTTCGGGCATTGTTTCTTTGTTGGGCAATCAGACAAGAAGTGCCCGGCCTTCCTACAACTGTGGCATATGCCCTTGTTCCCTGCCATCACACTTGAAAAAAGAAAAGGTAAGTTCAGTATAATTAGCAAACTAATAACATCCGCATCAAAACTTCAATAATTTCCTATCGAAACTAAGACTACCAGTTTGCAGACGATAGGCAGCATAATACATGTTTCTAAAAGTTCCACTTTTCCTCATTCAAATGTTAAAAACGAATATATGATAGGTTCATGCTGGAAGAGAAGTCCAACTGCAAGCATTTTAATTTCAACTACTTCATAAATGATGTTTGAGATGGAATTATCAGATCTTCTGAGTTCATTTCATCCCTATCATGGTACACCTGAGTTAGCTAAATGCAAACATATAGATTTTTCCCACAGATATTCACAACAAATTCAGCAATGGGGGAAGGGGTTAGAGATGAAACATCCATCTTCACCTTCTCAAACTACTGCAATTACCTTCAAAACCACTGCACCTAGCAAGAACCACAGCACCAACCAAGAACCATGGAAGCAATGTCTATCAATTCAATTAGACAAATCAACATACACTTAACCTATACAGACCTCCAATCAACGTACCACAGCATCATTTCATGTTTACACACAAGCCCGTGGAACCATAAATCGCATCGAACCAGGCTAACAAATTCTCATTCAATCCAGTAAATGGAAATTCAGGGCATTACCTGCTTCGTGTTTTCACTTGGTTCACCTTTCGGGATGTGGGTTCGTGTGCAGGCAGCTTGGAGTGTTCACGTTCCTGGAGTGTTCACGCCTGAACTCGACGCTGACCGAA